CCTTTTGCTGTGAGTACCCTTTAGCCACCAATCGAGCCTTGAACCTTTCCCCTCCTTTTTCTGTTACCGATGACTTCCTTGTATAAATCCACCTACAACCAATAGCTTTCTCCGCTCACTTCGCTCGGTCGCTCCGCTTCCCTCGCTACGTTCGCTCCGTTACGCTCGCAGGCATCAGCCTGCCCCTTTCCTTTGTCAATATATGAGCCATACCAACAGGTTTGATTAAACCACGGCGAGTTAATACTGTCTATCTCGAGTAATCATTTCAGTAATTCTTTTTTCTGGATTCTATTGCTCTATTCACTTTATAATTAAGTTCCTACCAGCTTCCTGTGTATGTAGTAAAATTGGCATTTTCTCCATCTTGAATTAAATTAGACTGCTGTGCCTATGGTTAGTATTATGACATTATTAGCTCTCTTTTATTTACCCCGCATGTTGCTAAGAAAACTGAGAACTTGACAGTGCAAGCTTACTTCTAAGTGTCCAGAGAAAGTAGGCGAATTTATTTGAATGCAACCATATGCAACTATTTCTATCTTCAATACCTTTTGGGTGTCTTTAGCGCTACACTGACGAACACACACACAAACAAACGCATTTATATACCATGTGATAATTAGCTGTGAATCAATATTTTCCTCAGATTCCTGATCATCTTCTTCCGAAGGTAGCAATAGTTGGAAGGCCAAATGTTGGTAAATCAGCACTCTTTAATCGTCTTGTTGGGGTTTGTACCATTTTTCTCTGAAGTAATTTTGTCAGTTTATTTTTGTCATTTACTTTCAATGTTTCACGTCAAGGCTTAAGTAACGCCAGCTGTCAAATTTCAGGGCAACAAAGCCATTGTGGTTGACGAACCAGGCGTTACCAGAGATCGTTTGTATGGCAGGTCATTTTGGGGGGTCTATGAGTTCATGGTGGTGGATACGGGAGGTGTACTTACAATCTCGAAGTCTCAGAATGACGTGATGGAAGAACTTGCTATAACGACAACCATTGGCATGGAAGGTATTCCTCTGGCCTCGAGGGAGGCTGCTGTTGCAAGGATGCCTTCCATGATCGAGAGGCAAGCTGCAATTGCTGTGGAGGAATCATCTGTCATCATATTTCTTGTCGATGGCCAGGTATGATTGTGTGTGCTTCATTGCATGGTGCAGCTTGTTGATCGAGACAACCTGTTTTTATGGCATCTATCTCGTCTGAATGGTGTAATTACCCAGAACATATTTCGTCAAGTAGCACCTATCTTTAAAAGTTTCTAGATTTACTTTTTCGGTGGCTTTGAGGCACCGTTATATGGTTTGGGTGAGATTTGGAGGAACTAAACTCATTCATTATCTGATGATGGTAGGGCTTGTGATCAGATCCATTGAACCTTTTTGTGCATTATCAGATTTGTTTTCAAATGTTTCTATTCTTGGGAAAATATTAAATGGAAAAAAGGGGAGATGATTATTATTATTATTATTATTATTATTATTATTATTATTATTATTATTATTATTATTATTATTATTATTATTATTATTATTATTTCTCCAAAGTGAGATTGTTATTCCAAGTTGTTTTTTCCATTAAGATTCTTTTTTTATTATTATTATTATTATTATTATTATTATTTTTAAATCAGTGTTCAGTGTTTGCAAGTTAGCTGCTCTAAGCTGATACTTGTGAAATCAAATCTCTCTCTCTCTCTCTCTCTCTCTCTCTCTGTGTGTGTGTGTGTGTGTGTGTTTGTGTGCATTTGAATGGTGTAGCACTTTCCTATAATGAATTTTGTGAACTTGGCATGAGTTATTGTACTGGATTGCAAGTCTTGTTCAATGTGCAGTAAAACATAGTATGGAATGATCTATTGACAGGCAGGCCTAACTGCAGCAGATGTTGAAATAGGGGATTGGCTTCGTAAGAACTATTCACACAAATGTACTGTTCTTGCAGTAAACAAATGTGAATCTCCTCGTAAAGGACTCATGCAAGCATCAGAGTTCTGGGCCTTAGGGTGAGCTGCCTCATTTCCGTGATGTCTAGTGTGTATAACATTTTAAGCCATGCAGATGTGGAGAGTTAGGTGCCTCATTATATAAAAGTTTGATTTTCAACAATCAATTTCAAGAAAATTGTAAGAAGGATAGAAGGGGTTCAATTAATCGCTAGACTCAACAATATTGAAGTATACACAATAAACATTATTACTTTGTTTCAACATATATGTAAATAGTCAGTGATTGGTGATATGATTGATGATTTTGTCAATGTGTTGCCATCTCATGTTAATTCCGGTTCCTGCTTCGCTAATGTACTAGGTACTCACCCCTCCCAATATCTGCTATATCTGGGACTGGAACTGGGGAGCTTCTTGATTCTGTCTGCTCACAATTAAAAAGGATAGAGGTGACTTCTTGCTTCTTGCACAAATTGGAGTGCTGCTTCACTTTTACCAAATAAATTATTGACTTGAAACCTAGTTTATAATGCAGTCAGGCTTTTAACTTATTCATCAACATATTGCTGAATTCTCGTCCTTTATGATCATAAGACTAAATAATTCATATTCACATGAGATTTTATCAAAATGGCTCAGTTAAATTCTAGTGCTTCTTCTATTAGTGAAGTTTCTAAAAAAAATATATTAAACGATGCAACGCACCTTGGGTCGCTATGGAAACAGCCTCCTTGTATAATTACAAGGGTAAGGTCTGCGTACAACTGACCCCCCAGACCCCAACATGTTGGGAATATACTGGGTATGTTGATGATGAGAAATCCTTGCGAGTTGAATCCCCTCTTCTTTCATTCTTTTACACTTAATATGCTGGAAGTTGCCTCTTCTTGTTTTTTAAATAGTGTATGTTATATCATGTTTTTCCTACAAGATTTGCTTGCAAGATCTTTCTGAGTGAATCTCTCACATGCCACACATTTTGGTTAGAGAGTTCATCCTTTGATGGTCTGCAACTATCATTTACTTCTGAGATTCTTACTATCGAGACCATTGTTAGCAGAGCTCGATATTTTGTTCTTCCCATTTCCTATTTGGAAATCCTAAGAGATGGAATTGGCGTGGCTGGTGTACCACTAGAAGCATAACTCTGCATACTAATGCCTGCGTGCTGCTGCCTCGTCATACCATTGAGTCTTGGATCATATGTTTATCAATGCCCTTTTTAGCTTACAAGCATATATTTAGTCTTTCTTTTACTCTCCTGATTTGTAATACGACATTATTTTGTTTCATTAATTGGCCACCACTGTTGAGGTTTTCTCGATATGTTTAGAATGTATTGTTTAATAGAAACAAACGGATTCAAATTATCTACTGCAGGAGACAGAGAACACTAATGTGGAAGAATATGTTCCGGCCATAGCCATAGTTGGCCGTCCAAATGTGGGAAAGAGTAGTATTCTGAATGCATTAGTTGGAGAGGACAGAACGATTGTCAGTCCAATCAGTGGAACTACTCGTGATGCTATAGATACAGAATTTACTGGGTCAGATGGCCAGGTTGGTTTTATTTATTAATTTCTAAAGCTAGAGATTTTTTGAACTTGATTAAAAAAAATAAAAAGAAAACAAGACAAAAAAAAAGAAGCATTTGAGGCTTCTGTATTCTCATAGCTAGTGTTGTATGGATAGTTGAACATATCCTGTCAAATTCCTGTAAATCCCAAGCTCGGCTGGGTGTTATTTACAAAAATGGGTGGATGGTTACACACTTATTGATGTTGTGTTTGATGTCTTTTGTAAGTAGAAGAGATGTTTTAAATTGTAGGCATGATCAGAGAGATTTTAATTTGGCCTTGAAAAAGGTTGATATTTTATATAGCTACAAAGTAAATTGCTGAACTTGTATGGATCTCAAATGTCAAAAGGGGGAAAGGCTGACGACACTACCCATCCTCTTGTTTTCCTCCTGTGACGTACAGCTTTACTTGTGGCTGAGCTTTATCTTTCCTCTGAAGAGACATTGAGTCATGTCTCATTCAAACTATTGGAGCGGTTAAAACTGTGTCGAGGAGAATTGGTTAAAACTTAGAGGATGGTTGT